GATTATTGCGACTCGGAGGGAGTTTCGTTCTGATTTCGAAAATTGGTTTTGTTATGTGGTTAGAATGAAAATATTATATGATGATCATTATTAATTATAGGAATGCTTTTTCTCTTGCACTAATAGGCATTATGTAAAAACTTTAATTCCTGTAAATCATGACAATTTTTATATTTGCTAGAAAATTCAAGAGTCAGTTTCTACTGGCAGATTTTTTAGTATTAGTAGTCAGTATTGTTGTGTATGTTCGATTTGACATTTAATTCCTCCAGCATCTAATTTGAGTTTGAGCTTCAAAATAAAGGTTACGAAGAGCCGAAGTTAGAAGCATTTTTAACAGGTGCCAAATTTAATAAATTTGACAAGTGAGCATTTATTAAAATGTCTCTCTGGCCAATGTTTCAAATTAATTTAACAGCCTGTTATAATTCTTGGTGTAATTGAGAATCCTTTAATGTAGCTAGGGCTTTACCACCTAATAACGACTTTAAATAGCAAAATTTGTCAACTCAGTTAAATTAGAATATTATGCACGAATTCTCAAACTGTTCCAAAATCTAAATATTCTGAGGCTCGCCATATCGAGGAAGCAAAGTTTAGGAAGTTAGTTCCGTTCTAAATGCAAAGTTTTATTTTCTACGTGAATATTTTCTGGATTTCCTGTTTGTTCACCTGACTGATCCTGTTGATACCTGACTGTTTGTTCACCTGACTGACCAATTGATTTAATTTTGTTTTGCAACTTTACTTTAACTGGTATTATTTTTTCGTTATATTCATCTACTGTGTTAATTTCATCCTTAATTTCTTGTTCTTCTTTTAACAAACTAACTTTAAAGTTTGTTCACGATGTGTGTCACACTTAGTTCATTACACATTGTAAAGTTTTTAACAATTTAGCCATTTTCACAACTTCTAGCAACAAATTTTACCCCTCAAATACTTTAGCAATAAATTCTAATTCTAGAATTCTCAGAAAACAAACTGTAATTTACACAAATCACACTTCAAAGAATTAACAACAAATTCTAATTCTAAGAAAAAAACATTTTCTTCTTGCAAGTAATTGGAATTTCCAAATATCAATGCAAACATTCAGTAAATGCGAAACCGAAAGTTGTAAATTTTTACCAAACAAGATCAAAGACTACTTCAACAATTACAAATTATTCTATTCAAACATAATTTTCAACTAAATTATTTACTCACCCCACCATTACGATAATTCCCAGCCGATGCACCACATGTTACAAAGCGATTAACAATACGAATGCGAAGTTCGTGAGGCGAGTAATAACATTTGACGATTCTTGTTCGAACGCTATTTTGTTTCAACGAGTTTGCATCAGTGGTAAGTTTGATCTTGATTTGGTATACAAAAATACATGATGATATCTTTCATTTATATTTAATGAAAACACCAAATATATCACAGTAATACAGACACATCGCAACGGCGAACCACAGTTACATAATGTAAAAACACAGAATTCTTTCAGCGTAACAGCGCCCTCTATACTATGAAAAGTTCGAGCACAGGCGAAATGGAATATTTTGTTCTATACATAATGAATTGGTTAGGTAATTATTCTTAAATGAGTGCAGAGCAAGAAGAACAAACTTACTCATCTATACTGTTATGCAACCATATTAATTTAAAAAATGGCTTCTTAATTTGCTAGAAGCATTTAATTGTGTCTGGAATTTGAGTTAATACTTTTAAAATAATATAAATATTTAGTTTCTGCTCTAGGAAATCTAGTTACGGCTCAAAATTTCTAAATTTTAGCTAGCATGAAGTTTGGTTTATCTATCTTATCGTGTAAATGAATCGTAATATTTCTGATAATAAGTTAGTATCATATATGACCATTGTTAATTCTTTGGAATTGTTTATTGGACAGAATTTTTCCTAAATCTTTCATAGAACTCATTACAGTAAAACATTAAATAATCCAAAATTACAATTTCAATTTCTTAAATATTTATAAAGTGAGGTAATCGTAAAATTTATGCAAATAAACGAGTTGCTTATTATTTTTTTCTTTTATTTTTTTTTTTAATTCTTTCTTGTTTTTCCTAAGAAATTTTAGCCTCTTGTTTATCCAAAGTAAATATAAATCCAAATAAAATAATTATTTATCCAAAGTAAGTTTGAATTTGCCCTTTTCTCACCTGTCTGTCATCTTTCACTGTCAATTATATTTCATTGTTATTAAAATTGAGTATAACATTCATCTCAATTTTAATTGCTGTGTATATCATACATTTTTCAGAGGAAGATGTCACTGGAATAACGTTACCCGATATTACAGAAGATGATTTGAAGGAAATGAATATGAAATTGGGACCTAGAAAACGCATTATGCAAATAGTGAAAGGAATAGAGGTAAAAGTATACTTTCAATAATAAAATAAGGATAATATTATGCTGAATATCTAAAAGGTCATTTTATTTCTTTTAGTGTCAGCCAATGCAACCTGTTACTTTCTATGTGATACCTAGAGATGAAATAAGCAGTACTGAAGATGTAGAAGATGCAAGTGTGATTACCCCACAGGATATACAAATAGAACAGATTTGCTCAGACACACTAGCAGTACACAATCAGTGTACTTCACATGAGGTAATAAAATGTCTTTGAATTTTAAGTAGGTAAAAGAAGATTCTATAATTTATTATTTGGTAATTTAAAATTTTTCTCATATTTTTCAGCATTCTTTTGATATTAGACATTGGGTCAACAGTCACCTAAAAGGAAAACAGCTCTGTAACAACCTAGATAAGGGCTGCTACAAGACTGAAGACAGGCAGCTGCTTGTTAGGATAGTCTGTTCAAAATTAGTGGAGTTGTGTGGAACTGTGTAAGTGTTTTTTAGTGAACTATAATTTGTTTTCACTAATGAAGAATAAAAAAGTATAGATAAATTTTGAAGATTTAAGTGAATATTTTTTTATATAGCATTTGCAAATTTCGAGAATTTCTATTAAATTGCTTTTGTTATTATTTTAGTTACCCATCCGCTGAATGTAAAGAACGTACTGCAGAGGCAATAGTAAATGCGTTTCCATTGCTAAAATCAAAAAGGTTCCCGCATGGATATGTAAGTGCTCATTTAAGGTCAAAAATCGCTTTAAGATATGTTATGAAATAATCTAAGATGTATTTATTTATGTGCAGGAGAGCTTCTATAATAAGAGTACAGGAACAGGCTTTATAGAGTACCGTCTGAAAACATTCAGGAAGTCTCTAAGTCCATCGCAAAGAAAGAGGTCTCCAAAAAAGATATTAGCCAAAAATTCAAAAGGCAGCAAAAGGCAAATATCTATTAAAACAGAACGCTTGACTAATGAGGATTTAGAAGAAAAGGTTCTTATTTGCCTTTCATAAATTCATTCTCAACATTTTTACAATAATTTTGTTGTAAAAAAAAGTGATTTTTCTGCTTGTAGCACTTAATTTTTTGTAATATTTGTATTATTTTTTTAATTCATTTACGATGTTATAATTATTTGTCTCATGACTAAAGACAAATTTCACAAATTGATGAATATAAATTTTTTGTTATAGATAATGTGGATGAAATTAAAAAGCCCCACGGAGCGCAATAAACGAATGATTTCAGATGTATTGTCGGAAACAATGGCTGACAGAGAAGCTCTAAGAAGGGATTCAGCCATAAGCATAGCAGATATTCTAGAGAGATATCCCAGGCTTCAAGATTATAGAGGAGATATGGTAAGATATGCAGTACAGGTAATTTTCAAGTAATAATTAGGATTTTATTTCCATTATACACTAATGTGCAGAACTTAAGCAACAAATTCATTTTCCAACATAGGATCATAAAATTGTTGAAAAGGACTTTTTGCAATCAGTGCAAGAAAATCTTAGCCAAAGAGGATGCATATGCAAATATTAGCTCTGTGACGTCAGAAGGTATGTCAGGGCATACAAAATGCGAGGAGCCAAAGATGGTAGATGATCGGTAAGCTTGAGCAGTTTGACATCTGTCACCCAAGAGCTTTTATTTATTTATTTTCTATGGCTAGGCAAAAAGTTACAAAGAATAAAAATCGTATAAACAGAAGTTACGAACAATAGAACAAAAAGATCAAAGTCATTGCCTAAGGAGTACTCTTGCCTCCCAGTATCTCTACTCCTCTGTAAGACCACAAAGAGCCCTACATCAAAGCAGATGGTCCCTGTCCATTTCTTTTCCAGAATCACAAAGTGGGCAAATAATATCGCTTGAAATGCCTATGCCTTCTATTTCAAGGTGTTGAAGCAAAGTAGAAATTTTGAGAAATTAGCTACATGCCAAATGCTAAAATTTAAAGATTATATAACATAACACATTATATATAATACATAATCGATAACGTCGACAAGAATGAGAAGAATACAAAAATTATAATTTCATTGCAAATGGGGAAATGTCATCTGTATAGAAAATGCTGCATCACTACATTATCACTTATGGTATATTTCACAGCAGCTCAAGCCCATAATGTTTAAATCAGTTTTTAACGAAGAAGACCCCTCAGGGGCTCACTCTTGTGAATACGGGTGTGGCAATCCCGAGGTACCCTAGCCCTTCAGGGGATCATCTTCTTGGTGAGACGGGTGTCACGATCCTGGAGCCCCAGTGATCTATCCTCTTTTCCGTCTCCTCTCCTCTTGGCTGGAACTTTTTCCCTTCCCTTCTCCCTTGTGCTTTCTCTCTACGGAGTTTGGGGCTCGTCACGAGAAACTGGAGCAACCCTTGTCTCTAGTTTTCGAGTGGCGAGAAAACTGTCCATGTGTTTGCCGTGCGTGGAGACCCGTGTCACTGGAAAGGAGGGTCCTGGTAGTTGAGGGGCGAGGTACTGTCCCCAACACTCTGCTTTGGCCTCTGCTTCAGCTAAACGGGAGGCACCTTAGTCGTCCTCACGGGTGTCAATCGGCTGGTCACTAGTCCTTGTGTCAGTGGCTTGGGGATAAGCTCTCAGGAGTACCTGCTTTCAGGAAAGCCGACTGTGGGACTTCAGTTTGCGTATAGACCTCGTTAACCCTGGTGCAGGATTCTGCTTTTTCTTGTTGGACTCCGTGGTGGGTGGGGCTGCCAGGTCCGAATTTTTTTTTCTTTCAATATGGATAAATCAGACAATACCCCTCTAAAAAAAGCAAGAACCAATGCAAACCCTAATATTATACAAGTTTCGAGTATCCCTATAAAAGACAAAGTATCTACAATACCACGCTTTGTAGTAATGAGCAACTCTTCTGGTGAGCTGAAAAAAATGTCTCCATTTCTAATACATAAATATATAACAGCTAGTGTTGGTGAGCCAAAAAATATGAAACGTTTACGATCTGGAGATATACTTATCGAAACCATATCACCTATACAATCTGCCTCTCTTCTTGTGCTTACTAAAATAGAACAAATAGATATATGTGTGTCTGCTCACAAGACCTTGAATAGTTGTCGCGGCGTTATCTCCGAATTCGATCTTTTATCTGTTTCAGAAGAGGAATTCGTGCAGGAACTTGCATCACAAAATGTATGTGGAGCTAGGCGGATCAAGATGCGTAAGGAGGGTCAGTTGATTAACACCAGACACGTTATCCTGACCTTCAACACGCCTAATCTGCCTACTAGCATTAAAGCTGGTTATTTAAATTGTCTTGTGAGACTTTATTTCCCTAACCCCATGCGATGCTTTCAGTGCCAGCGGTTGGATCACACTAAAATGTTCTGTAGTGGTAAACCCACGTGTGCCCGGTGCTCTGGGAAAGGCCATGACAGCGATAATTGTGCAGCTGAGCCATTGTGCATTAACTGCAAGGGGGCACACCCAGCATTCTCACGCATTTGTCCCAAAGTGGAAAGCCGAAAAAAGAAGTTCAGACTGCCAAAGTTACGAAAAAACGTTTCGTATGCAGAAGCCAGAAGAATAGTACAGAGTTCTCAGCTGCGATCAACAGTACTTCTTACGTTAGCGTAACTATATCAACAAGAACAATAGCTTTTCAAACAATATGCAGTCTCCCAAGAAGTTCACAAGCAAAACAACAGGAACCTAGAAAAGAAAATTATGATAAAAGTGAACTCTGCCCTAGTCTCCACACCAAATAACATCTAAAAATAAAGAAACAAAATCTGAAAATAAAAAATCTCTAAATAAAAAATATGGAAAAAGTAAGGAGCCGCTAGCAATAGCTCTCTGCAAAGTCTGAGCTTCGACTCGCAAGATTCGGATGACGGAATGGAAGTGGAAGAGGGAACTCAGTGTCCCAAGGCATCTGCTTCCCCGCAAGTCTAAGAAAGAGCACCAGAAAAGATAAGCATTCTTGATGGCCTACTTTCATTTCCTGGAACTGTCGTGGCTTCCACCACGGTCTTGATAACATAAAAGAGCTTAATCAATATTCACCATCCAGCATGCCCGACAATACAGAAAACGCTCCTAAAACCTGAAAGTTCTGTAAAAGTGCGAGGCTACTCTATAGTAAGGAAGGAATATGTCAGTAATGATCGAGCCTCTGGAGGTGTAGCTATTTTATTCTCACTTAATTACCCATCTAACATAATCCCACTGACAACACCCCTCCAAGCTACAGCACTTACAAATAAATATAAGAATACTAATGACTGTATGCTCTCTCTACTTGCCACCCAGTGAACACATAGATCAGCAACAGATAGCTGACCTCATAGAGCAGCTGCCTGCTCCTTTTGCTATTTTTGGGAGATTTAAACGGTCATAGTCCTATGTGGAGAAATCGTGAGACACCAACTCATGTGGGCAACAGATAGAGCAAATGATAAGATGATCATTTTCTTTGCCTTCGTTAATAATGATGAGCAAACCTACTTCCACCAGCCAACGAGAACATTCCATATGTTTGATCTTGCCATTTGTTCACCAACCCTCTTGCCTCTTCTTATATTCAGTGTGAGAAATCATCCCTTTAATAGTGATCATTTTCCCATCTTCTTGTCTTTACCCAGAGAAATTAACTCTCCTATTGAACGACCAGAAAAATTTATATTTCATCGTGCCAACTGGGATATCTTTAATGCTAATGCCACAGTTACACAAGAGTTAGTGAACAATGTGGAAATAGATGAAGCAATGCAGGCTGTTACAAACAAAATTCTTCAAGCTGCTGAAATCTCTATCCCAAAGTCGTCAAATAAGCTCCCAAAATATTCAAAGCCGTGGTGGAATAATGAATGCCGAGACACAGTAAAGGAACAGAGAAAGACTTGGGGAATTTTCCATAGATTCCCCACTTTGTCAAACCTAATAGCCTTTAAGAAAGCCAAAGCGAATGCAAGGAAAGTACGCCGTCAGAGCCAGAGGGCTTCATGGATAGCCTATGTGTCTGGAATTACATCTTCTACACCAAGTAAACAAGTATGGGAAAGGGTTAAGAAAGCATGTGGATTATATAAAGACCACACACTTTCCATCCTGGAAAAAGATGACCGAGTGATTAGCAACGCAGAAGAAATTGCGAATACTATTGGTGAGACTTTTGCTGCCACTTCCAGTGGCAAAAATCATTCACAAGCATTTCTTTCTGTCAAGCTTTCTGGGAGTATGTTTGATTCAAAATTAACTTTCATGCCACATGTAATGTACCTGAGGAAGAAGTGTTTCAAAGTGCTAAATCTTTTAAAAGTACTGGCAAACACCTCTTGGGGGGCAGAGCATAGCTCCCTACTTCACATCTACAGAGTGCTGGTCCGCTCAAGAATAGATTATGGCTCAGTAGTTTACGGATCAGCCCGTCCTTCTGTTTTATTAAAACTAGAATTCTTGTTCATCATCAGGCTCTACGGATTAGCTCTGGAGCCTTTAGAACATCTCCCGTACAGAGTCTCTATGTCTACTGCTTCGAACCATCCCTTCAGTTGAGATGGGAGCAACTCTGTCTTGCTCATTATTTCAAAATTTTATCCATACCTGACCATCCTAGTCGCCCTCCTTTGCTTGATGACTGCTACAACCGCCTCTTTGCTGCACGACCTCTATGTGTGCCACCTTTCCATGTAAGAGCTCAGTCACTGATAGATAAATACCACATGTCCGATGTAAAAGTCAAGACCACAAAGCATTTTGAAATTCCATCCTGGGAGAGTGCAAATATCCAACTAATTAATGCTTTACAACACCTTAACAAGAGGAATACTAATGATATCATATACAGACAGTTATTTCTAGAGCATAGACAAAAATACAGTGAGTACATTCCTGTATATATGGACAGCTCTAAAGAAAGTAATCATGTTGGAGCATCTTTTGTGATTGATAATTATATGAAGGGCATCCGTCTACATAACTTTTGCTCCATCTTCACTTCTGAATTGGCTGCTGTATATGAAGCACTTTCCTTCGTCTCTGGACTACACAAACGAAAGTTTATTATATATACGGACTCGCTCAGTGCACTGAAAGCTTTAGAAACATTTTGCGACACCCAAAATCCTGTTGTCGTTGAAGTTCTGAAGTTAAACTTAAACTTGAAGAGCCGTGGATATGACATTCTTTACTGCTGGGTTCCGGGGCATGTAAGGATAAAAGGTAATGAGTCTGGCAGACATCACAGCAAAGACTCTGCTGTCGAAATGTCTAGTAGTCGGCCTTATTCCTTGTAAAAATGTGAACATTGTCATCAAGCAGAAGGTCCTATGTATGTGGCATTCTGGCATATGTATTCTGGGATGTTCAGCTTAATAACAAGCTGAGAAGAATAAAAACGAGAATTGAACATTGGGAAGCAAATGGAAATTGGAGAGAGGAAGTGCTTTTAACTCGCCTCAGAATTGGTCATTCACGAGTGACATATAACTTCCTATTAAAAGCAGACAGAGAACCTCTTTGTTGCAAATGTAATTCTATACTCTCCGTGTGTCACATTTTAACAGAGTGCCCTTATTTTAGTAAACTTCGTGAGAAATATTTTAATAGTTCTGAAGTAACTCTTCAACATCTCATTGGGCAAGATTTTAATACTAATATATTCCTCTATCTAAGAGATACTGGGTTTTATCATTCATTTTGAAATAATTTTAATGTCTACTGTCATTCATGAATTTTACCTATTTTAACAGTTGAATCATTTGGATTTTACTTTACATGTCAGCTTTCATCACTTTATTCTATCTGTTGATTTTATCAGTGAGCTTGTTTTAAATATATATCTTCTAATATTTGTATCTGTAATTCATCTGTATATTGAAATATCACACCTGTATTCGGCGCATATAATCTTCAAGGTTTTGTGCCAGAAATCACTATCACTATCACTAACGAAGAAGACTGCTGTTTCCGATCGTCACTAATTGCTGAGGTGCGTTGTTGTCTTTTGTCTGTGAATGTGATGCGATCTATACTATTAAAATCTGCATGCATCTGTCACTTTGTGGCATTATCTTCTCCGGAATAGCGGAGTTGAGCTTCAAGAGAGGTACCCCGGGATTCCGAAAATTCCTGGAAAGCCATTTCAACCATTCTCATCTTCATATGACTTTAGTTAGCCGACATATCAATTAAAAACTCAGAAAAATGCTAATTTTTGCCCTCATTTTTATGAGTGGCAACAGTCTTGCACACTGGTGATGAAAATCTGCTTTATTTCAAGAAGTTTTGCCACTGCTCGCTTCCAAATCGTAAAGCTTCGTAATAAAAAATTTCTAATTTTCATAAAATATGAAAATTCATAAGAAGCCCTTTAAACTGTCTCATCTTTGAATGACTTAAATTGGCCGAAATATTAATTAAAATTTCAGAAAACTCTAATCTGCTTTATTTCAAAAAGTGTTGCCACTGCTCGCTTTCAAATCATAGAATTTGTTAATAAAAATTTTGTAAGTTTTACAAAATATGAAGTAAAAATAGCATTGCCAAACTTTAACACATATTAGTATTATTATGTAAGGTCATATTCTGATGTTGAAGAAAGCACGTGGTTGCATATGGCATCATTGTATGTTGAAAGTTTTTAGTTAATGTCAGCATCTTAAATAAATAGCTACTGTTGGCAACATTTTTGTTTCAGGTTAGTATAATTGACACAATACATTAATACCACATTAATTCTTTTATTGATATTAAGTAAAATCTGTTATATTACAATAAATTTAAATTATGATGTCATACGTATTAACCTAAAATGTCAATTTGGGACTTGGAAACTTCACTTACAACTGGTGCACGAGTTCTAGGAGTCTTAGCCAGTAAAGTCGTTTAGGTGCTATAGCCCTTTTGCTATAAAAAAATAAAACAAAGGTGTTAATTAACACCATACCCAGAGGCAAAAAGTCCAAAATGACAATAAGCCATGCATTTTAAATTTTTGTAAAAGTTTTAAGTCCATGCAAATGCAGAAAGTCAAAAATGCGGGCAGCGGGGATAGAACCCACTGAAGTGTCAAATGTTTTTGCTTTTTGGTCTGGCAATAAAAAAAATATTTATGAATTGGTTGTTGCTTGGAAAGAATGAACTGATTTCTTTGATACTAAAATGTTTCTATGTATTTGCTTTTCAGGGGCACGTAGAACTTATAAGTTTTACTTTGGCTGCAGCCTGCTCAGCCTGCTAGTATCTCTATATCCTTCGAATTCATTTGGAGAAGCCTTATCTGCATTCTTCATCATTTGTACTGTCATAATCGGAAAGGTTACTCTTTTCTAATGTTCCAGCATCAGTCAGTTTCTTTTAATGTACTTTCCTTTTCTTGGGCTGTGAAGGTCCTGCATACTTTTAACATTTTCCATTTTTAAAAATACCATAAAAGATTCAAGCACAAATTTTGAAAACAATGCAAGTACTCTTTGTTCAATTTTCAGTGTCACACGAAAAATAAAGCCTATAGCTTACGATAATCAACTGACATCTTAAAGCATCAGCATTAGTAGTGCCAACAATCTGGTGTGCTGGTGACAGCACACTTGCTAAGTTTCACATTGTATAGAGTAATGTTCATTAAAATAAATAAATAAAAGTGTAATATTTTTTTTGGTTGATTTCCTACAATGCTTAGAAGAGGAAATGTGAAAACATTGAAAACGTGTCAGTAATGTATGCACTTTAAGGAGAAAATGAAAACAAATTTATTCATAAAAATAAATTTTCATATGATTCTTTGTGATAATGATAAGAGAGGGGGGAGGCGGAGAATCTCATTTCACTAAGTATTTCAGATGTTCAGTTTTACAATTCATGCTATACTTAAGAATTTTTCCGAGTTTGATTTGGACTTATAAAACCCCTCATTTCTGTGAAACATAGTTTCACTATATCGGTTTATATGCAATAAAATTCCAACTAACTGGAATATCTTGGAATTTTAGAAAAATTTAGTAAGCGAGAGATTTGCAATGCCATTATAGAGCTTGTAATACTATTAGCATGTATTCTTTGTAAACACATAGTGTGACTTAGCACCAGTAATGTATCCCAACATAATTGTAAGAAACTCATCTTGGTTTAAATGTAAATTCAATTAATTCTTGATAAGATGATTTTTGTAAAGAAAGATATAAGTTCTATTTTCCCTTGGGTTTTGAAAAAATTATTAATATTTGGGATTACAAGAAATGTAATATTTTCGAAGTTACAATATCTGGATGTAAAAAGAAGCCATGATATGCGACTTTGAAAAGGTGTAAACACTAACAATGTAATGTAAAATTATCATGAGTGATTTAAGTTTTTTACATGTTGTATCAGTAATTTATATCTCTTTATTAACTAAATAAATAGTTCCGTACATTTAAATTTCTGCTGGACATCTCCACCAACTTTCACATTTTGTGGGATTTCATAGCAATCAAAATATGTCACCTTTTTATGACTTCAATGTTTTTTTTCCAAATCTTGTATAATTTTAAATTTAGGTTTTTATATTGAAACAGGTGATGAATAAGATGATTGTTTTTATAATTAAATTTTCCATTAATTTTGCTTTCAATATGAATTTTTTGTTTTTATACACTCAAATATCTTGCATTTCCCGAGCTTTTACTGTACATATCATGCATTTTTCAGCATTATGCTAAAGCAAATAAGTTCTTATAATAATTTTCATTCAAGAAATATGCTTGGTTTGGGAAGCTAAACTGAAATAAATTTATATATATTGAATTTTTAAAATCAGCATTTTTATGGATGTGTACTAGATAGCCTATTATTAATTTTTGTATAAAGTTACAAGAAATTATCTTATGTTTTTAGATTGATGCAGAATTTTTACGGATGCATCCAACTTCAGATACTTTCTTGGGAAAATTTTCATCTTTTTATGTCCCAAGAATTTTGAGATATGTAGAAACAAAAAGGCCTGATCTTCTGGTACCAACTATTGCTGATTTCAGTGGTAAAGACTTCCAAATATTTAACTAGAAATGATGTAATACATAAAAACATTTTTGTCTATTGTTTTAATTCATTAGATTAAACTAATTTTGCATCAGTTATCACATATTGGTATCTACTCCTAAATGTTTGATATTTATTTATTCTGGCTTAGTAGCTCAGAAAGTTGCAAGTGCATGTAATCCTAGTATTAAAACCTTTTTACTGATATACTATTTATGTAAATATTCGTGTTCGTGTGTGCCTTTTAATTTTTTTAAAATATATATATATATATTCGTAGATGATCTAAAAGCATTAGTTCTGCTCCCTGAACTTTTGCCCAGCCCAAATTATGGGAAAGGAAAAGAGAAAAAGGTAAAGAATTCATTAATATGGGGTAAATATTTGACAAAAAAATCTATGAATACAAAATCATTTCATATGCTTAGCTATAAAATTCTTCTGATTAGATAATATTTTTAGTTTGTTATGTGTGTATATAAATATCATACATGAATAAACTATCTATTCATATATTATGTACCAATAATAATTGAGCTTAGATACACATCTCTTGAAATTCATTATATTCTTTCATAAAAACTTCATGTGCAATATTTATATGGCTTTAATTAATAATTATGCTTGGCATATAAGTTTTATTTTGTATTTGATTTTTTTTTTTTTTTTTTTTTTTTTTTTTATAGAGTAAATTTAAGCCATCATGCAGTTATCTGAAAAGATCGATTCCTAGTCCTGCACTTATCATATTTGCTAATGTAAGTATTGATAAATTCTGATACTCCTGTAATAACTTTCATTTTAAGAGGGCAGATCATAAGCCACATTTCAGCAGTGACTGTATTTGGTCCATATGGCTAAAATTCGTGTTTTCAGGCTGTTGTCATCTATTGTTTTCACAGATGATGCATGTTTATTTAAATAGTTACTCTGGTATCTGAATGGAATTGATCTGAATAATACCTACATACCAGCAGATGTTTCTAGAGAATGAGATGGTTTGATTAGATTTGTGAGGGATCAACCCTTTAACCCCTGGATTTTTTGAATTCACAAAATGTTAAAATTAAATTATTCATGGGTTGAATAAATGACATAGTCCAGGTTGAACAATCAAATATATTGGGAATATTTTGTTTACATGGAAACGAGCAACCACAGTAATGTACACCAGATAAGGATAACACAACAACAGCACTACTGTTCCCAACTAACATTAAGTAAATATTGTGATTGGCACGCATATCTTATTTTTTAACACGCCCTCTTGCCAATCACACTATGTGCAAGATATTTAAATACTTCCATAAAAATTAATCACCCTGTGGTTGTATACATTTACAGAAAAACGATGTAGCTGCTATTACATGCTTAAACACTATTGACCTCTACTTATGAATTGTATCATTAAATGAACACATATTAAGTTATACTAGGAAACACAATATTTACATAGAAATAATTAAGAAAAATTAGTATCTAGGCTTCTTTCTGGAGTTTTAAGTCAAGTTTCTATGCAGTTACAACCATAATGGTTTATGTTCAGTCACAAACTTTGAAGGAGATCATTTTCACATGCGAGTCCTGGCATAGTTCATGTCATGTAAAAGTTTTTTTTTTTTTTTAGGTCTGCTTAGTTAGGAAATCAGCGAGATTGTCGCTGGATGGCACATAATCAAATACAATCACATTTTCTTTTCACTAGGTCTTTCAGGAAGTGAAATTTAATATTGATGTTCTTACTTCTTTCAGAAGTAACATGGTTCTTGGCTAGGAATATTGCTCCCTGGTTGTCGACTAGCACTTTTTGACATGAAGCAGCTAATTCACTACAGATTTCCTTGATGAAATTTTTAATCCATAGGATTTCCTTGGCAGTGTTCTTTGATTTCCTCCCACTGTTGTTCATCTACCTTCTTTTATTTTATGCTGGGGTCCAGTGGCGTGTATGCACATTTTGCTTCAGTCATTTTAAATGTTTTTAGGATCTCTGATACATAAACTATTTGATCTAGTGTGTATGATCCATTTTCTTTGCATATTTGCATTGATAAGATCTAGCTTGCAGGACCTTGGTCCTTGACATTGAACCTTTTCTAAATGCTTTCCTTGAATTCATTTATCTCTGGCATGTTTCCGACTATCAGGAGGTCATCAACATAAACTCCAATTATGATGTTCTTCTCGTGACAAAAGTAAGTACAAGGGTCTGCATTTGATCTTTTCAATCCATACTGGATCGGGAAGTAGTTCAAGCAAGTATTCCATGCACGTCCTGATTTTCGGAGACCATAAATGCTTTTCTTCAGGTGGCAGATAAGGTGTTCTTTCCCTTTCTCAATGCAGCCTTCTAACTGTGCCATATATATATCCTCTTTTAGAATTCCATAAAGGTATACAGCTGTCACATCCATTTGATGAACCTCTAGCTTTTTCTCTGCAATTATGGCAATCAGTAACCTTATAGATTTAAGTTTGATGACTGGTGAAAAGGTGTCTTGAAAGTCCTTTCTGGGTATTTGCAGATAGCCTTTTGCCACCAATCTGGCTTTGAACTTTGCTCGGTTCCCAATCTCGTCTTTTTTCTTATGAAAAAACCATCTGGATGGTATTACCTTGGCGCCTGGTGGTTTAGTACTTAGTTCCCATGTTTCAGCTTGAGTGAGGTTCTGAATTTCTTCCTCCATGGCTTTTAAGCACATGTCAGCTTTGGGTGATTTCAGGACATCTTTTAGAGTTAGTGGGTCCTTTTCTTCAGATTGTTGTCTCTCTTGGGCATTATACAGATAAAAATCTTCAAAATGTTTAGGTATTCTGGTGTTTCTTTTTTTTACCTCTCTCACTCCCATGGGTAGGATTTCTGGCTGCTGCTTCGACTTCAGGGTCTAGGTTGTTAAAAACGTCTTTAACGTTGTTAGAAGTATTTTCAAGCTGTAGGTCTGGACATCTTTCAGAATTTTGGTCAATCGGATCTGTATTTAGGTGTTTGGTTTCGTCCAAGTCATTTACATCAGGAGTTATGTGATCTAGAGATGAGTCATAAGCTTCTGTTTCAGGTAGGTCCAAGGGATATTCTGATTCAAAGTCTTCAATTTTAAGAGAAGCTTGTTCTTCAGGATTGTCACAGTTGCTTAGTTTTAAGGAGAAAACATTATCTTCAAAAATAACATCTCTGCTGACAAAAATATTTTTCTTCTTTAGGTCATACAATTTGTAGCCCTTAACTCCTTTAGGATAGCCCACAAAAACACATTCTGTAGCTTTAGGATCAAGCTTGCTTCCTCTTGAGTGTGAGCTAACATGACTCCAGGCTCTGCATCCGAAAACTCTGAGGTGGTCTGTTTTGACCCTGACCATCTTTCCTCTGGAATATCATCATCAATTGCCACAGATGGGTGCTTGTTGTGGAGATAGGCCGCAGTAACTATTGCTTCAGCCATGTTTGGTTCAGTCTTTCTGCGAGACTATTTTGTTGGGGTGTGTCAGGTACAGTTTGTTGTCTTTGGATCCCATGCACAGCGAGGTACTTGTCAAACTTTTCACTTATATATTCCCTACCATTGTCATTTCTCAGGAATTTGATTTTTCTGTTTTGGAGATTTTCTATCATGCAACGGTACTCCTCAAATTTTTCTAGTACTTCACTTTTGGCTTTCATAGAGAATGCCGTGGTATAGTGAGAAAATTCATCCGTGAAAGTCACAAAGTAATTTGAGCCTCCAAAGGAAGGGGAGAAATTTCACTAACAACATCTGAATGTATAACTTCTGGGACGTCTTTAGCTTTTGTACTAGCGGCCTTTGGAAATTTCTTCCTTTCCATTTTTCCCTGGATACAGACTTGGCAATGTGCATTTACTAATACTGTTGATTTCAGGTTTCTGCCAATGGGGATGATATTTTTTGTTGTACAAGAGTGTGGATGACCGAGTCTACGGTGCAGCAAGTCGGAACTTTCAGTTTTCGTAATGTAGGCAGTTCTCATCTTTTCTTCGATTATGTACAGTCTTCCTTTTTTCTCACCAGATAGAAAAGTATCTCCATTCTTACCAATCAATTTGTCTTTTCCTTCTGCAAATTCTACTTTTACTTTAATTCTACCAATGGATAATAGATTTCCTCCTAGTTCTGGAACATATAGAACATTTTCAATAGTGACTTTTTTTCTCCATCTTCTCCAACAGAAAATGAAATATTTCCAATTCCAGTGACCTTTATTCTTTATGAATTAGCAACTTCAACTTCAGATGTGTACTTCTTAAGGTTTGAGAATTTTCTTTTATCAGAGGTCATGTGCTCTGTAGATCCTCTGTCTAAAATCCACAGATTATTTTTCCTTGATTTTTCTTCGTTTGCCAGAAGTGCAATGTTTGTCTTCAGGTCAACTGCAGTTTTGGCACTGTTTTGGTTCTGATATTTGGCCTCTTCACAATTTTTAGAGATGTGCCCCCACTGGCCACAGCTGAAGCATTTCTTCCTCTGTTAGTTTCTTCTTCATGTGGCCTAGCTGCATACTTCTTCATGGGTTTTCCAAATGCAGGCTTTTTCTGGTTGGTGGCAAAACATTTAGTGTGAAGAGCTTGTTTTTCATGATATACTTCGGCTGAACTCTCATTTCTAACTATATGTTTCTCTTCTACAAGTAGCCTAGGTTTCACAATCGTAGTTGTCAGATTTGCTTCATCTTTTTCCAAACTTAGGATGAGCGATTCATAACTTATAGGCAGTCCCAATAGCATAACTAAAGCCACTCTTCTATCTGTGAATGCATATCCACCATTAGCTAATTTTCTATGTAAGTCCATTAATCTTGCTAGATAGGATTGGACAGCCTCATTTGGTTCATATTTATGTTAAAGAATTCTCTCATAAGTTGCAGCACGTGAAGCAAACCAAATTTTTTATGCATTTCTTTTAAACAGTTCCAGGCATCTCTGGCTCTAATATAATATCTGATATAATCTAGAAATGTATCTTCAACTATGAGGAATAATAGGGTAAGAGCTTCGTCATTCTTTTCCCTCTCCGCTTCATTCATTTCAATTCCATATCCAGGTTCCACTGCTTCCCAACATTTCTTCTGCACCAGCACAGCACACGAATGGATACACCATGTGTGGTAATTGTCACCACTAGTTATAATCTTCAGATGTCATTCTTCAAGTAAATATATCGAGCTAAATTCACCATAAAAAAATTTATTTACTTCGTCAAAGGATGGTTATCCAGCTCACTTCAGATTCACAACGTGGTTAGGCTTCAGCGATCGGCACGGTTAGGCTTCGGTGCGATCTTCAATCCTGGATCGTTATGGCATTTCCTTTTGAGCTTTGTGCTTATAACATGTTAAAATTAAATTATTCGTGGGTTAAATGAATGACATAGTCCAGGTTGAATAATCAAATATTGAGAATATTTTGGTTACATGGAAACGAGCAACCACAGTAATGCATACCAGATAAGGACAACACGACAACAGCACTACGGTTTCCAACTAACATTAAGTAAATATTGTGATTGTCATGCATCTCTTACTTTTTTTAACACAAAAAACAGTCTATAAAATAGTGTTTGTAGCAGCTATTAGAAGCTTACAACATATTAACAAGTTCATACTTGAGTTGTCTTAACTAGAATACCATGGCAGTTGCCACCATCAGGTTTCAGAGCAAACAGTCATGTGAAAACACATGCAGACAAGCTCCCAGATGAGACCTCTGACATTCAACGGTAAAACAATCTATACAACTGATAAAAGAGACCTTTACATATGAAGGTGACAAATGCCACCAGCAGAGCTGAAAGGGTTCATATGTTCTAAAGCATGGTATTAATCCTTTGCATGCTTGCATCTTATTATGAACATGGATTTCTATTTGTAAATTGAGTAAATGCTTCAAAGTAAAATTTAAAAAGTACAATTCCAATCTCTGACTAAAACAAAGCAATCAAATTAAGAACAAGCATAATTGTTTATTATGAAAAGATGGTACTTGATTTCATCAGGCAGTCTTGTTATTAATGTGGCTTTGGAAATGATGAAGTAGTAGAGCTGGATTAATTAAAAATAAATATGTGCTTTGGGCATCAAGGAAAGGTACTTAAGGACCCAGAAAGGGGACACCTTAAGAAATGATTATTTCAAACTTTACCATGGAATATGCACTCTTCAAAAGTGCAATTGCAACACTGTGAAGGAATGAATGTTGCAGTGTGAAATTAACAGGATCAATAGATGTCAGAGACATATGCAAATGATTAAATGTGCATGAGCATCTGGTTACGTGATATCCAGTTTCTGGCTATAAAAGCCAGTAGCTGGCTCGTTCTATATATGTATATATACTATCAATGACAGGTTGTTGTAACAAAACTATTGAAGAAGAGTAGAAAATGCCTTGAAGACATCAGCAAACTGAAAGTAGCTGTTATCATCTGAAGAACGAGAACATACCCTAGAGACTTCATGAGCTCTGTTTGCAAGTTCAAAAAGACAAGTTAAAACTCGGTCTCTGTATAACCCACCTTACTTCAGATTGTAGCAAAAGCATTTTATGTTCACTGCCCATCTTTTGCCATAAAATTGTTAGTATTCTTGAATTTAAACATTGGCTTTTAATAAAATTAACAATTTTCATAGCTTGATTCAAAACTATTTACAGGTTTTCAAGGATTGTTTTGGCTACTAAAGCTTCCGGATGAATGGAGCAGTGATTAAATTTAGTTTCAGGTGCAACTTTCTTTATCTGAGAAATGATACCGAAATGTTTTCCTGTTAAAGCCCGAGTTCTGCATATGACAATGCACCTAATCCAAGAAATATCATTCTCAAACATAAAATTGCCAATTCGAAAATTTCATTTGCAGTTGCTCTGTCATGAAGAGATTCACAAAGTAAATACTCTTCAGCAATTTGTGTATCTTCTTCGTTAGTATTCTTGATATGTATGTAAACTAATAATTGAACAAAGTTTGCTATATCAGTACTTTTAGAGAAATACTTAATGTGTTTTATTTTTTGAATAAGTGTCTCTTTTATGGAATGTGCCATTCCATGCATTCATACACTTTGTATCATTTGATAACAGAATATTATTAAGTTCATTAGCTGTTTTTTCATTGAATAATGTTAAAACGATATGGTTAGCTGCTGGTAATATATAAAAAGGTTTTCTCCAATAGTGTGAGCCTGCCTGTGTTTTTATTGAATAATGTTAAAACAATATGGTTAGCTGCTGGTAATATATAAAAAGGTTTTCTCCAATAGTGTGAGCCTGCCCAGTCTTGGCAATTCTTAGGCTTACTAGGTAACCAGCTTCTAAAGCTGTTTCATTTGAAGTAAAAAACCTTTCATAACTTGTTTACTATTCTTGAACTTTGATAATTTCCTATTAAAATATTTTTTAGGTTTATCCTTTCAATTGGTATGCTTAGATTCAAGATGTCTTTTAAGAAACGATGGTTCACCGCAAACAACACATTGAGGTTGAGGGTCCATTTCATTTACGTTTCAAGTAAACTCAAATGATAAATAACTTTCATTATATTTTCTATAAACGGTTTTTCTTTTCAATATTCTTAGTGCTAGTAGATTGTCTTGGATCGATCACCTGTGAATCTTTCGCCTGTAAATAACTTTTCCTCTTAGTCAATCCTATCCATTTTTCCATTTAAAAAAATCTTAAGTTTGTTTTGTTATTTTTTCATAAATATTTAAAAGCACAATATATTACGAGTTCTTCAAAAAACAAACAATGATATTCTCAAATCTCGTAGTAAGGAATACAAAGCAACAAGAAGACAAAATACCTGCTATTAGAGACAGCAAATTGATATGAAAAATTATTCTAATTGAAAATAGAGCAATATGAGCTCGGAAATGGTGGCGAATAAAGTGTAGACATTAGGACAACTCTGGCAGACATGCTAATAAATCGACCAACTCTTGAATTAATGAGATATTATTATCTTTTTATAGGAACTTATTTTTATTTCCTATTAAATACAACATCCATTTCTAATCATCTTTTTAAAAACATCATTTATGACAAATTTTGTCATATCTATGGCTAAAAAACATTTTGTGAAAATAGAAATAGATTATTTTGCAAAAGTCTATGAGCGGCTATAGACCTTGAACGAAGAAAGCTCAGGTTGCATAAATTTATGAGCATTAGAGAAAAAAAGCTTAAACAAGGTGTTGGAAGTAATTATTATTATTATTATTATTATTATTTGCATACCACTGGTTTAGAATCGCTGCCATGGAGGAATTGAGAGTTGCCGGGACTCAGCTTGGCAATTAATATATAACAGGAGATCATTAATAGCATGGCAGACAGTATGCTTGCTGTTTAGAGGCAAGTGGTGGTCACATTATATATTGCATCAAAAGTTCAATTTTTCCTAGCTTTGTTTGTTTCTTTAATCATCTGCATATGTGTCTTACCTCTGCCTGTCCTGATATTTACACATTGCTCTACACATTCCTTCATGATGTTGCAATTTTACTTTTGATGAGTGTATATACAGCTAAACCAAGATCAAGAAAGAAGGATTGGGGTAAAGTTGTTTTAAATGTATGTGGGGACATCCAAATTTTTCAAGTGTTTATAGCCTGTCACTACAGCTCTGAGTGGAAGTTGAGTGGGAAGTTCTTAACTATTCTCTGCATGATATTTTTAAACATTCATTGGATTTTTTTAGATTATTATAATAATGCTATTTTTTTAATTGGAAAAGTAAAACTTTTGTAATATATATGGCTCATTGTCATTTGGTTTGCTGTCATAAATTATTAATGGATGTGTTTTTAAAAAAATTTATCTTTAGGGAATAGAAGACTTGGAATCACCTGGAACAACTGACCATAAACAGCCAATTCTGGTTTGTGTGTCTGCAAGTTCCTGTAGCAAATTTTATGTTAAAGCAGGCAATCTATTAATTTCATGTCCAAATCATGCATTGAAGGCATTCGACATTCTTTTCAAAACTCATTTTGTATTTAATGTTGAATATGCACATATGTTAATATATTTTTATAACTTCATTGCAAGCTTTTTGTATAATGTCTGCACTCCGAGAGCAGCTGCAGACTCCTTAAACACATGTCTTAGTAATATATCTGTTACATAAGATTTTAATATTTACTGTATATACATTGCATTTCATATTTTAATAGCATATTCATTAAACATATGTGATATAAATGCATATCAGATGTGTTAAAAAAATTCAAGCCAAGAAAAATGAGTGCTTGAATATTGTATATACAAAGTGTAATAGAATTCGTGATTACAACTTTAAGGGTGATAAAAATGGTAAAAGTAAGAATTTTCATAATACGGTGTGTGAGGCAATGTGAATTAGAACATGGAAATAACGGAAGTTCAAAGAACATGGTAAACAAAGTAATTTTAATCATGGGTATTTACAAGAACAGGTTTGACATGTACAGGTATTGTTCAAATGAATGATCATCAACTATATAAAACAGTGATGTCAAAGAGACCCGTTGGAAGATGTGTCAAACATACACATTGGAAAATGTTTGGCACTTGATGTACTTCTATAGCTGCAGTATTAATTCTGGTGATAAGGTTTCCAAGAGAGTTAATCTGTATGTTGTAAATGAGGTCTGTCTTTGTTATGATGCCTGTGTGCTTATTTGAACATTTATTGTAAATATTCATGATTGAAACGATATTTAATTTTTTTCATATACCTTGAACTGAACTATGGTTTTTTGGTGTTCACAGCACTCTGTGTAATGAAAACTGCTAGTTTTGCTTTGTCCTATCACATCTTAACACATTGACTGCCACACGAGTTTGTAAGAAAATCTCGTTTAGGTCATAAGGGCTGCTATACCATGCATCAATTGTTTCTCACCACATGAGTTTAGAACGTCTAGAATGAAACTTGGAAACTTCATTTCAGTTTAAAATCTCTCCTCAAAAGTGAAGTATATAAGAAAGGGTGTCCTTTCTTCTTTTCCAAGTATTTTTTCTGTAGTGACAAATTGTTGAAATTTTTTTTGTTATAATTGTTGCTCTAATTTTTTGCAGCGTCTAAAAGAAAAATAAAAGAATAATTTTTAAGTGAGTCATATAGCAGTGTAGAAGAAACCTGTTGCGAGGCTTAGCAAAATTTGAATAGTAATAATGAGGAACATTTGAGATTTTTCAGGCAAATAATTGTGAACAAAATTACATATTCTGATCCGAATACTGATAAATGCAGTGACAATAAATGTGGTATAGATACCACTGATCATATTTTACAAGAATTGGTTGTTTAGAAAGAAAGAGAAGTCGATACCAAAGAGAGCATATTTTGGTTTGGTGAACAGAATGAATTTAGGTATCGGCAACAATCATTTTCGTTTCTTTCTTTCAACAATCTTTTTTTTTTTTTTTTCAAATGCCTATTTTACCTAAGAACTCAAGGAACCATCACCTGAACATGGATGATGCAATCTGATCAAAATTTTTGCCATTACCCAAATGTGGGCAATGCGCCTAATCAGAATTTTTGCCGTCACCCGAATACGGGTAATGTGGCAGTCAAAGTGATAAAGCTGTAACCATCAGTTGTATTCACTTTTCTATTGTTCATCATCAGTTACCTGCTCATAATAAAATATATGAAATCTGCATTTAAAGTTATGTGGTACACTAATGAATGTACGAATAAATTACATGTAATAAAGAGAGAATGTTCATTATGTATAATAAATCATGAAATAACATTTTAGTAGTAAAGAAAAAGTTTTGAATGGGACTAAAATCTATTTTTAATTTTAAAATCAAATGATAAAACTGCTTAAAATTTTAATTTAATAAAAGTTAATCCCATTTTTTAAAAAATATTGTTATGTATCTATGTGGGTGTTATATATCTATATGGGTATGTATGTACATATTATATTTTCTAATAAAGAATTTTTCATGTATTACTTGTTTTCATTTGTGTTGAAATTACCTCGAGGAAGTTATTTTAATGATTCCTACTCTGGTTTAATTAATAAATAAAATACTTAAGAATTTTCTTCAGAATTATGAAAAGTGTTTGATATTTCTATATTGATACAATTCATATTCCCCTTAAAATTCATTATGAATATTTAGTATCAATTTGTATACTACTAAAGATATACAAATAAGTTATAGTCTAAAAGTGTACATAAATATGTACAGTACAAAGTCTTTAATCTGGACTCTAGTTTATATCTGGACATATTGTGAACTAATTGGGAATTGGTATATGTATAATTTCTCAAAGTTTAAAGTGTTCTTTAAGCTAACTGAAGATCTAATTCAGAAGTCAAACAACAAAAATCAGCGTTATATTTTTTGTTTGACTTCTGAATAAGTATTTGTTCGGCGTGTTATTGTGTCTTAATTAAATGAAGATTTTAAGCTTTTAATACCATGCATTTTGGGATAAAAAATATAACTTTTTTAACTCGTATTCCTGCAATATGTGAAGAAAAAAAATTGAAAATGATGAGGAATAGCATGAGAATATTTTATGTCTACATAATTTTTTGAATCTGTTATAAACTTAAAACTATAAAACATGAGACAGAATGCATGACTAAAACTGCCCCCCTCCAACTGAAAACTTTAATTTCCAATGCATGATAAATCTTTTCTTATTTCTATTAAGTCACTAGTGCCGCTGTGTGATATGAAGTGCCTTTGTACAGATTTGTATCCCTATGAAATACAATTGTAAATTAAAATGAAATGGATTTCAAAAATTTCTATTTTTTAACATATTAAATATAAGATATGCCTATGTATACAGAAAAATAAATCAATTAAAAATTCAATTTTCATTAAAATGTTATGGAACTTTTTGGATGATTTTGAAATGCCAGTCATTTGTTATATTTTTATGCTCTTAGATTTAGCTGCTACAAAACTGTTAATCAAATAATTTCTAAAGTACTTATTAATATCATTGATGAATCAGTTAGATGTACTCACATTATTGATTTCAAATATTTTTTGTTACTTTGAAAAACTGTTTGTTCAGGTATTTTCTGATACAGGTAATGTGAAATAAATACCTAGTATTATGGCAGTGTTTTGAATGCATTGATTAATTTATTTTCATGCAGTTGTAAAACTTTATGAGAGGTATAATTTTCTTACAAAAAGTCGCTTTTAATTCTTTAAACTATATTAATTCAGATTATTAGAATTTGTATTTTCGCTCATTTTTAGGTGTATTATTTTGTAAATCTTTTGCATTTTTTCAGTAAATCAGTGCAATGATTTACAGTACTTATCCTAATTATTTTAACTCATTAATGCTGTCTATAAATTTATAATCATCATTGTGTTTTATGAAATCCTTCTGTAACTGATGATACAGTAACATCTAAAATTGCGGGAAAAACAGGCTTTTAATTTTTTTTATCAAATGCCAGCCTGTTGGCCACTAGGCTACGTGCTTTCCAATATTTTTCCATAACACAATTAAAATGAAATAATGTCGACCATTCATCAAGGTGAGGAGCAGTCATATCTTGTCCAATTGAACCCAAAATGCACATAGAAGGGTCGACAATATTAAAATGAAATAAATGGGCATGGTGACAGATATGTCCAGTCAACAGTCTAAAAGTGGCTACCACGGCTGCACGAGGAGCATTTTCAGAACAAGATGGGAATTGGTGCTGAGGGCACTCCAGGTGAAATGTGATATGATGATTCAAGACATTTCTGTATTCTGATTGAGAGAGCTTGTCAGTAATTAAAATTCATAGAACACTTAAATTGATGGGAATGATCATTAATGTAGATTAAACTCCAAGATAATTAATAGCACAAAACATATTTTATTAATGAAACTTAACATGTTTTATGGAAATTCCCCGTATAGCAGCAGCCATGAAAATCTTATCAAATATTTTGCACTTGGTCATTTATATTTTTTTTCCTTGGCACCACCTATCTGCCGAAGACGGAACACCAGGATTTAATTACAGGAAGAGTGAGTGGACACTGTATGAAGGGGGTCATCGAAAGATGCTTTTCATCTCCAGTTTCGAAGAATAAAAGGGCAGATTTCTATTTGGTTCCTGAATTAAACATCAACCTTCTTTTTGCAACCTCCTTCTCATTTTTCTCAACACCACAGTGGAAGGGTACAACTGGAAAGACACTTTACATTGAATTCTCTCAAGCAGAGATCTACATTGCAAGACACGAGAGCTTTATACTCCTGATTAAATAATAAAGTCTGAAGAGCAGCCCTCTCAAAGGAATTCTGGTGAATGGAATGTTGCTGAAGAATTGCATAGATTGATTTCAGCTCACCATCAAAATGGATAGTGAACTTTCCAACTAGCAGATAAAAACAAAAACCTTCACAAAAAATACCAGCCCCAGCTCCTTGAGTAAAATCCAGAAGGGAATCATCTGCATAGATGTGAAGCCATTTATAGTAGGATAGCAATCTTGCATAGTTTCCAAAGCATTCACGAGACAGCAGTCTGACTTTGTTATTTTCTGATTTAGATCCAGTTCAATGTTAAGGACCATCTAATCCAAGGGGTTAACAAGATAAGAGTATTTCGATGGGTGTATTGTTAATTAAATGGAAACAGTCAATATCATGAATTTTTTACACTTTATTGTGCCATTTCTTCCTGTACACATCCAATTGACGTTCTTATGTACCTAAGCACAGTTGCATAACTCATATGGCATCACTTGCTGTTCTGCACTTTCTTTTACTTTTATCATTCTGATTTGGTAGTGACTGGCTCTCCTCTCCTTACACCTCTTCAGAAATTTTAAAATTACGTCTTTGATTTAATTTCCACTAATTTCTCTTCTAAATTCTTCGCCTTCGTGGTCTTATTCATTTAATACCACTATTTTGCATTGTTAAATAACCAGTCATCTTTTTGCTTCATTTTTGTATTTTTTTTTAAAGCTTAGTAAAATAAAGAATGCAATAAACCAACCATCTTGACAGAAATCTCACAACAGAAAGCAAATGTCTTCTGATATCCAGCAGTAATTAAATCCATTGGTAGTGTATTATCAGTTGAAGCCTATCCCGATCTGATTGACTTATTGCCAAAACAAGGCACCTCTTTATTTTTTAAACTGTCAAGCTCATCAGCTACATCAAAATAGCTTTCCCCCTGGTTGTTTGGATATAACTTTTGGTAGAATACAGATAATTCAATAGCTTTAATGCATTATAAAATATATATAAGTCAAAATTAATTATATGCATAAATATATATTTTCAATTCCTCTAAAACATTTTTTTTTTGATAATTACATTAAATTAAAAATCAGCATTACATTATAAATGTCATTAAGAAAACAAAGAAATGCTATTCAGTTAAAATGAACTGCAAAATTTGATAACTAATTTAAGAATTAAAAATCAAGCAGGAGCCCGCAAATGGTAAAATCACTGAACACTGGTAGTTCAGTCCGGGGTTTGAATCCTGCGAACGGGTTGGCTGCATGGGTGTTTTCGTGGCTTTCCTCAAGTGTAAGGTTGTAGAGCCATTAGGTAATTTGGAAGCAGGGAGTCATGAAAAATTAGCTACGCCTTCGCCGGGAATCGAACCACGACCTCTGGAATATGCAGCCAGCGTGCGGACCACCACACCAAAAAGGCAGGAGAAATACCTTATGAGGTGTATACGAACCAGTTTCCCTTATGAAGTCCTCCACGAAGACATGCTTGTCCTTAGGCGCTTTACCGTAATTAACCACTTGAACTGAAAAGACGTGCCACGCACGTTGAGATGCTTTTGTCTCAAACCGAGTGCAAAAATGAAAATAACGTGGTGCACACATCGCCTAACAACGAGATTGTTTATTTCTTGAGTTACAGCTCTGGATTGCACTCACACACGTGGAGCGGCGTAAATGAGACACTTTACCGCTTGTTATATTGTAGCGCACGGCACCGCAATTGTGAAGTTTAGTTGTAGCGCAAGTGGTTAAACTAAATCAACTAATATCAAGCAGAAAATTTAAAAGCTGAATATATGTAAACGTACAATGCATAGTTTCAGAAACAATCCGAGGCCTTGCAACGAATTAATCCCTGAATTTAATTTATACACATTTTTAATATTTTCAAGAAAAAGTTAATTTAATTTTCATGAAATTGTATTCATATATTATGAATTCAGAATGAGCTAGATAATTCTAAATTTTAACATTTACACTATCAGTAGACTTTCATTTATATAAATATTTAAGATTATAAGAATTACGAAATTTTATCTGCTATTCTACTTTGCAAAATTTGAACTTACGTACTGTATTGAAACAATTATAGCAACAAAAGTGATAAAAGAAAAGTTTCAAAAAAGGCGTATCATATAATTCCACTTCGAAATTATGCACATGGAGGGTGGGAATAACACACAACAGAAGGTACTGGTTACTTAATATTGATTTTATTAAGGCCACTGGCTTCACAAAACACCCAAGTAAAACATAAAATTTGCAAATCAAGAACTTTGCTTGGCATAGATTTTAATCAAGACTCTATCGGTTTCGAGGGCAAACAGGTATAGGTCTCTCTTCATGAGCAAAGAAGGCCCCCTACGATGGAATGGTGTTAGACACCAGGGTGCCTGGGTTCAAGACCCTATCCCTAATCAATTAAATTTATACTTTCAAATAAATTCCAAATTAACGTAAATGAATGATCTAGTTATTATTATTATTATTTTAAATAATTATATTTTGAGTTGCAAGAGAAGTGATTATATGTATATAAAGAATTTACAGAAAGCCGTCTAGCACATGCAAAGACGCAGCTGGTGTGTAACACAGTATGTAAGTATCAGTCACTCAATGCCAATTAACAGCATAATGCATGTAACATAATTCAATGAATAAAATTACACCAGAAACAATGAATA